GCTTCTTTAGTCGGAAGTGATAAATTCCCCCCCCCCCCCCCCCCATTTTCCGCCCCCTTTTTTTCCCTCTTACCCCATCCATTTTTAATGGACCAATTAAAATACTCTCTTTTTTCCCTCGTTTACTGGATTCACAATGAAACATGTCTAGATAGCTATTGGTATACTTACCACAACGGGCCGTGTGCGATCCTTTGCAAAATCACCAGCGACCCTAACTCCCCCCTCCCCCCTTTTTTTTCGACCCACCAAAAAAAAAAAAAAAAAAAAAAAAAAAAAAACTACACATTTTTTATTAAATGAGTAGTTCATTTTTGTCCGCGTCTGTGGCTCAGGCGTTGCGAATGAGCTTCGTAATGCCGAGGTACTGGGTTCGATCCCAGCTGCGGGCCTTGCGCCTTGTGTTGGTTTCGACACTAGTTTTGAGAACCCGAGCCTCCAGAAAACTACTGGACGACAATTTTCCGGCAAAAACCACAACAGCCAAAAAATGCTGGGGTTGGTTTTGCAATTCCCTGTAAAGAATACGCAACTAACTTTAAAAAAAAAAAAAAAATAAAAACTTTTAACAGTTTTAACTTTTAATAGTTTTAACTTTCAACAGTTAATTTGATCCATCTGGCCCTCATGGGACACCCAGTCGGACATGCCTGCTATAAGGTTAATTATCCAAAGTTGTATGCGTAGTCTGAGATGTAAACTGAGTTCTGGGACTGAATTTCCATTTAATGATAAGATGATAATAAAATATAATTTAATATAACAAATTTAAAACGGTAATTAAAAACAATTAAACTATTTCAAAACCACAAGAATTGTGACAAGTCACATACCAGTGAATAACATGTATTCCTTTCAGAAATATAAACTTACAATGGCTACTTCATCCCTCTTATAGTAAGCATGGAATTCCCGCACCACTATCCCTTCGTGGGATTGCTGTTTCTCTTCCCATCATTCCTTTTCAGGACATCAGTGGGGCTATCCCATTTTGTTGATCAAACTATAAATAGAGTATGTGGATTTATTCATTTAATCCCATCCAGGAAGGACGCATACTGACTCACCCCAGGAAAGCGGTGAAGTGCTGAGAACGTGGTCTCTGTGTGAGAACTACTTGAAGTAAACATCCATGCACTCACCATAGTAAGCTTATTTTTATTTTTATTTTTTTTTTAGACCTTACTGTCCGTCCAGTATTCAGTATACTTTATACAAGAAAGGAGGGGCAGACAATGCATAACGACACAAAGGCAACTTAATGATTTTAATCTTTTTTTTTTTTTAAATCAACTTTGCTTGCGTTTGTGCACTTCAGTCTTCTTTGATAAATTACGAGGTAAATGTTGAATGTTGAATAAAGAATCGGCAACAAAACACTCGGGACACTCCCCTACGGGCTATGACTCCATCTTCAGCAGCAAACGAAGAGTTCCAATTCCGATGTTACTAGTATCTGTCTTATTGTGCATCCATCTTGACATTACCTTGAGTGTTGAGCGTCGGCTAGATCCCTTGGTTACTCCCCGCAACGACATTTTCCTCAAACTGTGTGTCAATTACGAGTAATTCTCACAAGTTGTTTTTAGTGCGTCCATTTTACAGTCACTCGATGATATGCTTTGGTAGTGCTCAAACTTTGACTAACACAGACAGAATACACGGTCGTCTTTAAGAAGAAATAAATACAAAGGTAATTTAATTTTCATAAAAATGAGGAAAAAGTCAAGAGCAGGTGAATCATGTCTTGTCATAACAAGGGATATAAGAAGCCTTGCAGGAGTCGGCGAACAATGAATCTTTATTTTCAAAGGGTCACAGATTAGATCCGCAGCCCGCCTTAGATTCGGCCCTTCCAAACACCCATCTTTCACAGAGCAGTAACTGGGAACTAGGGAAAGAACTGCCCTGGAAAAAGTAATCGTCCGCAGCGTAGGGAAAATTACTAGCAACAAAATAGCCGTCAACTGCAGTGACGGCCGATCAAAACCCACTACTGGCTGCGTGGGGCGTCGCCGGTCGACCCAGCCTAAAATGGGTACCAGGATGTATGTTCTGGGGAAGTAAAGACGGCCAGGGTAATTCTAACCACATTACCCACCTAGTGCCGATTGGTATGTAAAAAATATGGGTGCTCTTCCCTAATTCCCGATGTGCCTAAAGGCATAAAAAGGGATCTTTACTTTACTGTTTACTTTTATAATAGGTTGATCATATTTTTTATTATTATGTTCTGAATGGCTAAAACATATACTAATACATTTGAAACGATATGAAGTGTACAAATAAACACTTTTAAAGAGAATGTCTATGCATGGTTAAAGGCGCTACTTAGGCCACTTAAAAAAATTACTGGGGAAGATTTTATTACCCCTAAAATTTATTTATTCGTGTGTGGTCAACGTGGATTGGAGGATTGAGTGGCGTGGAGAGGGGTTGGGGGCTGGAGTAGGGGATGGTCACAATCTGAGTAAGCAGATTGTATCGCCCAGCTACTACAGCATGCGTATGAAACAATATAAACAAGCTGACAATCCGAGCAACACCTAAAGACAGAACTGTGGTTTCTAAGAAAAATTAGATAAAATGCTTTGGACGAACATAAATACAAAGGAGACAATTAAAACACAAAGCAAATCGAACGCGCAAATTAAAATATCGAAATTTGAAGATAACAATAAATAAAATAAAGGTATTTAAAATAGAAATACATTTAAAGATTCAGTGACAAATGGACAACACGTGATCGGAAGAGAATGTGACAAAGATATGCATGTCTTTCTCCTCCTTCTTCTTCTATACAACTTTCACCAGTCCTTTCTTACTATCCACACTTACAACTGTCTTCCTCACTGAATGCAGTGTATATGTTCCAAGGGTTGAACTATGACCCGATGATCAGATAACCCTGGAATAATTCTCTCCACCCGCTGCCAACAGACAATGTTATCTCGGCATCTAGTGTCTGACATCAGCTGACTCCTTCACACAAAGCAACCGTCAGCTCAAATAACTACAAGGTTGTTTTGTATATATTTTCTGTAAGACAGAATACAGACGGCGCACATACTGCTACAGTGTCATAGCATGGGTAAACACCTCACGATTCAAATATTTCCTCTATTGCTGCCTGCTACATTAACTCCTCTCTATAGCGAGTGCACTGCCACGAAGTAAACGTTGGGGGCGGGGAGGGGGTGGCTTTATCCTAACACTCTGTCCCCCATCCCGCCTTACATATTTTCTAGTTAAAATTTGAAAAAAAAAAAAAAAATGGGGAGTGGGGGGGGGGGGGGGGGGCTTCAGATAGGGAGCAAAGAAAAAAAATAGAGAAGAAACAGAAGGAAAATACAAAACAAAGAAATATGTAGACCGAGAGAAGATATGAGTGAAAGATCTGAGATGAGAGAGAGAGAGAGAGAGAGAGAGAGAGAGAGAGAGAGAGAGAGAGAGAGAGAGAGAGAGAGAGAGAGAGACCTACTCTGGTAAGTGCTCCTATAAGAACTTTGAACTCAAAACGTCAAGTGCTTCAGTAGTGTACTAACGAGACACGAGACAAGATTAAAGCGGTTTTCCCCTGTAATTGACGGATGGGACAATTTGCAAAACATTTAAAACCATTGACTTCTTTCCTGTGGAAAAACACATGATGGTGTCTCATATGCCGAGTCATGAAACAAACAAAATGACAAAATATACTATATATATATATATTATATATATTTATACATATATATATATATATATATATATATATATATATATATATATATATATATATATATATATATATATATATACTGTATTTTAAAAATCTCTAACACAAGAACAGCCAGTTTGCCAACTGCCTATGGGTTTTTTTTTTTACGTGCGCAACAATACACACAGGCGTTTAATCCTACTACCCAGAGACTGGGGGAGATTACTAGAAGTCCAAGTAAAAAAATCATAGCCTTCCCCGGGGTCTGAATCCGGGACCTTCAGCACTCGAGGTAGACGCCATGCCTCGAGACCACTAAGATCTAATTATGGTTTAAGTGTATAAATGTAATAAATTGGGAGGTTTAAAGGACCTTTATCACGCCAATGACAAACAGGACATATGGTGCTAGAGCTATAGTTCAAAGGCCAATCAGCACTCGATAAATGATTTGTGGCCAACATCACTTTTGCAGATTTTCTTCTTACGAAATTAAGTTGCCCCTAGTTAAGGCTAGAAATCCTTGAAATCCACTGTCAGTTATACTCGTCTCACTTTATTCGTGATTCTTTCCAATGCTGGTATCGATGCTAACAAGAGAGGAAGCGTGTTGGTAGATGGAGTATTGTTCTTTACAATAAGAATATATAGTAATATTAGGGCTGCGATTCAAATTGAACTATTAAATATTAGAATGAAATAAAAATTTGGAAATGGTATTACTGCATTTCTAATTTATATTTTCATATTTCTCACTTAACTACTTATTCCCTTACTTCCTAGAAAGAAAACAAAGAACCCATTAATTTCTCGCCTTCGAAGAATCACATACGTGGCACTATATACATATACATATATATAAAATCAATATCACATTGGTCGTCTATAATTTTTAGGACCTTTCCCAGTGCCCAATTTAGACTGGATCGGCATGAGCTAGGTCAATTATACAATACTCCTGGGTGCGGTTTTGAACCCAAGACCTTCGGGCTGCCAGGCTTCCGTGTAGCACCAACAAAATATAGGGTGTTCTCTAAATCCCTTTACGGTCAAAGTTTTTGAATAACTACGCACCGCGTCTTGAGAGTTATGTAGCTCGAAAGGTCAGCATGAAACAAAGTCACTGTGAAGGGACTTATCGAAAACTCTATACCTAATAATTCTATTATTCTTTCGTTGTAAAGAAGACCGTTTATTAGAATAACTTCATCTTCTAATAACTACTTAAATACATAAGCAAATCCGGCACAATGCTTTCCTTAGCACACAGTTAAGTATACATATTAAAAAATGTACTCACTCGAAACTACTGGGAACATGAAATCTCCTACTTTCAGACTATGCACGTGTGCTGTCGGTATGTGCTATCTTTCTTCTTTGCTCAGCTCCCGTCCGACAGTTAGGATGAGAGTACGTTAGACACGCCTGAGTAATTCAGAGATCTCTTCACAGCCACAGAGCGTACAATCCCTACATCGCCAGTAGGTAGTACCGTGAGAACATCCGTCAAGTACCGACCTAAACTGGATGGTCTGATACTGAGGTGGACTTTCACTTGATGTTATATCTGGGCTTGTAAATGGGGTTAAGTGTCTGGCAAGATTATCAATATCTCTAGGATGGGCGTTAAAGGCGATGGAGGGGTGTGTTTTAAGTATTCTTAAATGTTGAATAATGATTTCACGTGCAAGCGTGTATGGAGGTACACGAGTGTGTATGTCAATAGTGTGTGTCTATTTATGTATGTTACATCACGGCCAGCTCCAGTATAAATCTGGAGCTTGCCCTGGTTACATATACTCAGTACGCACGCAGACTCATTCGAATGTAGTGTGTGTGTGCATATGGGTGTGTGTGTGTGTGTGTGTGTGTGTGTGTGAAAGAGATAGAGGAGGGGGAGAGGAGGGAGAAGAGAAGTGACAGAGTAGAATTTTTAGTGTCAGAAGTTATTAGGTCTAAGTGATGAATAGAGTCAGAAATAATTTAGTGAGAAGTGATAATGCGAGGAGTTATAAAGTAAGAAGTGATAGAGTGAGAAGTCATCTATCGTTAATTTATAAATAAGGAGCTAAAGAGAATTGATAGAATAGAATGTGATAGTGTGAGAAAATACTGAGAGTAGTGATAGAGTGTGAACTACCAGGGTTAGAAGAAGTAGGATAAAAAGAATTGTTGAGTTAAAAGTGATACGGTGGCGGCCTTCTCTGATGATCCTAGATCTGTTGCGTATCACCACATGTTTTGTATAATTCTGCACACATACCCACACACACACACACACTCACATTCTCATATATGTTTATGATAAACCCGTTGCACAAGTTCCAATGGAGTACAATTCTTATTGCACTTAAAAGAGTATGTTATCATAGTAGACATAAATGTAATGTTATCTGGTTTTACTTCCTGTCTGATTTCATCCTTATCTGTGAAGTTTATAATGTATTACGTGTCATGTTAAAAATTTCGGTTTAGAAAATAAAACAGCAGCTGAAATACAAAAAGCTCACTTGCATTAGTGCCAAACCAGCAGACGAAATATGTAAAATTCATCTACTGCCTACAATGTGAAAACAGCATTCAAGATATAGTAAAGTTATTTAAAATAATGTAAAACCAGCAGTGGAAACATTGAAAACTCATTTAGAATAGTCCAATAATAATAATTAATAATAATAATAAGAAGAAGGTTAGTTGCGTATCATTTACAGGACGTTGCAGAACCAACCCCAACAGCTCCTGGCTGTAAGTGTGGTTTTTCTAGGCAAATTACGTCCAGTAGTTTGTCATTGTTTCCTGGACGGTCGGCTTTCTTGATACCACTGTCGAAACCAACGCAATGCGCATGACCCGCAGATGGTTTCGAACCCGGCTTCCCGGCATTACGAAGCGTTCGCATCGACTTAGCCACAGAGCTGACAATAATAATAAGAGAGAGCAAAAATCAGACGCAACCACGAAAACACACTGTTTTACATTTTAAATTAATTAACAGCCCGGCTCTCTAGCGTAGTTGGCTAAACCGGATTGCGCGGAGACCGGGTGACGAACTCCATGTGGTCTGGGTTCACTCCCAGGGGTAGGCAGAAAAGCCACATTTCTCCCAGATTTACGGTATTTACAATGGAATCAAGGCCGAAAGGTTGCGATATCCATAATACCGAGCCTAAGGGTTAACAACTAATGGCTTCTGGATCCTAAAACAAACAAACAAACAACAAACAAATTAATTAACAATTAGCAACCAACTTTGTGTATCGTGCCCTGCTTACGTAAAGTCAGTTTACAAGAGCAACTCATCAAACATCGGAGAAGACAGCAATTAACATTCTTCGGGCATGTCAGAAGAACGAGAAAAGGGGAGACTAATCGTGACAACTGGCATGAGTGATGTAGAGATATAGAGTGGCAGCGAAAATAAATACTGGATATCTGATTGTCGGGGGCATCAGAGGATATCAACGGCATCGTTACGGAAAGTAACACCGCAGGAACTGGTCATTTAACCTTGGCCTACAACGGCTTTGGGTACTCAGGTACCCTATGTCAAAGAAGTTAAATGCGTAATAGGTCAAGCAACGGCAGCATTTCATAAAGTGAAGAATAGGTTAGTTGCGTATCCTTTACAGGACATTGCAGAACCAACCCCAACAGCCTCTGGCTGTTGTGTCTGGCTGTTGTGTGGTTTTTCTAGGCAAATTTACGTCCATTGCCCCTGGACGGTCGGCTTTCTTGATACCACTGTCGAAATCAACGCAAGGCGCATGGCCCTCAGCTGGGATCATGGGAAAGCTGGTGGGGAGAAAAGGCAGAGGGAGAGAGAGAAGATGCTGGCCAGTTTGACAACATAGCAGTGAAGATCACTTGTGTCAGAACTGACTGAAAGCAAGTACACGAGACAATATGTTGTGGCTAGACATGACTACATGGAGGTTTGGACAACTTGAGAGCCCCTTTCCATTCCACCCTCCCCACCCCCTTTTTTTTCTACCATAATTTTAGGCGTAGCCTGCATCACCAGGTAATTAGCAAGAGAACTAAGTGACGCTTCACTATCCCAATCACACAAGGAAGTTCTCTTTCTATGTACTTTTTTAAAAGCACTTTTCACATTATTTTAAACACTGTCTACTATGATATGTAGCTGGCTTTCAGTAAATTGTAACAGTAAGTATTATTTGTTTTTATTATTAATATTATTATTATTAATGCACACTAAAAATGGCTTGGCTTCTTGAACGCAACCTCCTTGAAATTCTTAAGCGGGCTGCCCCCCCCCCCCACCCCACCCCCCCCCCTCCATCCCCAACTCTTTAGCCCCTAACACCCAGTGTCTGAGGGATTTTTTTTTCTGTAGTCGCCCCTGTTGCCCAAGGCCATTTTGATATTTATCATATCATTCGCGGGCCATTTTTCAACCAAAATATAATATTTGGTGAGACATTGCTTTTGCCTTCGTAGAAGCAGAGCCAATGATTTCGTGGACGTTACACAACCAGTGGGTCAGACATTGACCAAACCCTTATCTATTATCGTCGGCTCTGTTGCTAAGTCAATGCGAACGTTTAGTAATACCGGGATGCCGGGTTCGATCCCAACTGCGGGCCATGCGCCTTGCGCTGGTTTCGACAGTGGTATCAAGAAAGCCGACGGTCCAGAATGCAATGGCAAACTACTGGACGTAAAATTGCCTAGAAAAACCACACAACAGCCAGGAGCTGTTGGGGTTGGTTCTGCAACGTCCTCAAAAGGATATGCAACTAACCAGTATCTATTATCACATCTCTTCACTTTTTTCTCTTCAGCTTTCTGCCGCCGCTGATATTATAACGTTCAGTTTCTGGGTGGATAACTCATTAACTACAAAGATCTGTCAGCGTTAGATTATGACTTTTAGTTTCTAGGTGGATGAATCATTAACTACAAAGGTCTTTCAGTGTTAGATTTTGACTTTCAGTTTCTAGAAGGATGAATCATTAACTACAAAGGGCTGTCAGCGTTAGATTATGACTTTCAGTTTCTAGGTGGATACCTTATTAACTACAAAGATGTGTTAGCGTTAGATTATGATATTCAGTTTCTGGGTGGATGAAACATTAAATACAAAGGTATGTTAGCGTTAGTTCTGTCAGCCGTTAGATTAGACTTTAGTTTCTAGCGTTTCAATAACACAAAGGGGCTGTCAGCGAGATTATGATATCAGTTCTGGACTTAGATTGCCAGTTTTTCTAGGTGGATGACTTATTAACTACAAAGGACTGTCAGCGTTAGATTTTGACTTTCAGTTTCTGGGTGGATGAATCATTAACTACAAAGGTCTGTCAGCGTTTTTATTTTCCAACTATCGAGACTCTAATTCAAGTCATTTCATTTAACTCTTACCAGTCACAGACATGTCCTCCTGTCACTCTTTATAATTCCCTATGTGGGCTGCAGGACCTCTCTTTCGGGAAACCATGGACGGACGCACTGCTCCCTAACAAGTATGTATTAGAATGTTGAATTAAGAATCGACATCACAGCACGCGTGAGACTCCCATAAGCGCTCTGTCTCCATCTTCAACAACCAACGAAGAGTTCTAATTCCGATGGTGCCAGTAACTATCTGATTGTAGATCCGCCTCGCCCTCCTTTAAAGTGTTGAGCATCGGACAGATCGCCGGGTAACTCCCCGCAGGGCACTACTCCTCAGACAGTAATGATCTATTTGTGTCTCCGCACTGAAAAGGGCCCTGGCAACATTTAGCTTGTCAAACACCAATTCACCACTGTGGTGCAGAACTGGAAGTCTTTTAGCATGCTCGTTTCCCAACACCAGTGTGGCCACTTTGGATGTTTTACATCCAGATTTAGATATTTTCCCTTGCATTTAGATGGCGTTTTTGATGTTTAGTTGGTAGATGTTTCTCTAGATTTTTTATTTTAATTTGAGTTGGATATTTTATAATTATTTTTCTTTCAGTGCCAGTTTAATAATTACTGTGTAAAATATTTACAACAATATTTTTTTTACGTACATTGTGGCATTTGCGATTACTTTAACTTTAAACTCTCACTGGGGTCAGCTCTCAAATATCTGGCAGCAGCGGTACTGATTATTAAAAGAGCGCATAAATCATACGAACTTTGTTTAAACTGTATCCTCACTGTGCCGACTTTGTGTTTCTTTTTCATTTGATTTTTTAAAAATAATTGTTCATTGCTTACCTTCAAATGTGGCTTTCAGTTTGAAAAAACCTTTCAACATGCCAAAAGTAAAGAATGAGCAAACATTTCGTAAAGAGTGGCTGCATGATGGCAAAATTAAAGACTGGGTGGC